GTATTTCCACTGTATAGTTTAATTTATATTAAAAAAAAAAAAAACATATATATATATATATATATATTTAGATTTAGAAAATAATATTGCGAAATATTCAAAACGGTAGGTACATGTACTATGCTGTAAAAGTAATAGTCTGTCCCGATAACTTTTAAATTCTGAACGACGTTACTTTATTTTTGAGTAATGCATTGGTTTTATTACGGTGTGTTCCGTTTTTTATGTGCGTGTGTACGCCTCTAACTTACTTTTTTTCCCCGTGACAGAAATCTCGCCCCGATCAGAAACTTTATAGAAACTTTCTTGTACAATTTTTGATCCGGGGTGGAAGTAATTTAATGTTTTTATTTTCCTTCGAGTTTTTCAAATAAATTCGAACCGGCAAATTTCGTTGATTTCTCGGTTGCTTTGGAAAAAAACGGAAAAAGACGATTAATAATAGTCTGCTTCGAGTCATTATTCATCACTACAATCGTTGATCGTAGCTTATAAATATGTATAAATTAAATAACATTATGTACCCAACCCCCCCAATTTTCCACCTACAACAGTGGTACGCCTATTCCCAGTATCAGATTCTTTTTAAATTTAATTTGTTCGTGTTTTTTTTTTTTTTTTTTTATAAAATGTTATTACATTTATTACTATGTAATAGTCATGTAAACGGGCGTAAATAATTTGCATCTCGCTATCCCTTCTAAACTTACATTAAACTATTAAGCAATCGTTTTATGAAACTGAACTATTGCATATTTGTTGGGAAAACTTCTGAGAAAATCGAAAAATGACCTCTTTAAAGTACCTCCCTAGTGACATTTCCTTTTTGGAAACATTACTATCATTAAAAGTTGGTACGAAATAACTGGTAGAAAAGCTGTTCACAGAAAAAAAAAATAGCAGTATTTTAGTAATATATATCGTAGATTTTCCCGTTTTTCGCTTTTTCGCATTCGATGAGAAAACTCTTGAGAAAATCAAAAAATAATCTTCTCCCGTACAGATTTTCTTTCAGAAAGAGTGATATACTTAGAAATCCGAACAAGTTTTCTGGTAGAAAAATTGTTAACAGATAAAAAAACACCTTAGTGAAACCGTCTTCGCTCCACTCAGAATCTAATAATGATTTTTCGATAACGTTTGGTCTGTTATAAAATATTTTACGTTAGTTGCGCTCGAGTTTTCAAATTTTGAAATACATTAAATTGCTGTGGTTCATATTAAATGTACGATGGAGTATACTGATGAAGGTGTGTTAGAATTTATATTTCATATTCATCATTTTAACCGCCCGTTCGATAGTTTTATACATAATAAATCCATAATTTTACGTTTACTTTGAAATATTTCAACTCGGACGGTAGTTTTAATAAAACAATCGAATCCGAACTCTATAAATATTATGCTAGATTTGTCTACAATTTTCGACATTTCATTTCATGTATATATTTTGTTTGCTCTCCGTCGCGCTTATCAAAACAATTATCATTTTTGTCTGGTATTATGCTAATACAATTCGCATTTTTGCATTACACACACACACACGCACACACACACACACACAATACATTACGTACATTATATTACAATATAATACTGATATTTAATACGGGAAGCTAAAAACTAAATGTTAAGAAACATTTTAAAGTTGTGTCATACAATATTTCGACGTACTCGAATTGTTCGTTAACAATTTTTTTCGTCTTTCGGTATAGATATAAAAATCTCTATCAGGCGCCTACATTTAACCGATGCAACATGACCTGCCTAATTTACACCCATACATATTACAATTAATAATATTTAATATATACATCATATTTAACATTTACGTTGCAAGTAAAGTAGTTGATATCTCCTCACTATAAGCTAACGTTGTGTCGGCAGTAGAGAATCTATTATAACAAATAATATATTTGAATTTTTATGCATAGGCCAATCGGCATCGGTGCATTCGTAAATTTTAAGCCAGGCCAATTGAAGACCGAAAAAAATAGGGGTGCCGAGGTACACCTTGCATCCCTCCACCAAATAGCGCCCCTGGGACACATCTTTCGAAATAAATTGTGCCGATATCCCCATTTTTAACTTGTTCGGGTCCACTCCGGATTGCTTCCGAAAAAACCGTTGACTCGGAATTCGAATAAAACAGTGTATTGAATGTTAAATATGAAGTAGAAATCGTTGAACACGACTTGTTAAACACCGATAGGTTATTAACCGTTAAAACCGTTTCGTTTAAAATTTTTGAAATTCCGCTCACTGTGACGCGGTCCGACCGGTCAAAAAATCATGGAGACTGCGTTCAATCACGGTAGGCCAACACGCGCCACGCATACGTGAAGTCGCCCTCCCCCCCCCTCCTTATTTGTCGTGGGCAACTCGTGGGAAGATCGTGCCAGTATTCAGCGACCTTTTCGCAACGTTTGGCGACCGCCGTTGATAAATTTGCAACCTAATCATTTTCGTCGCCGAAACAGCGGACGTTTTAAAACCGGCGGTGCGCGGGAGGGCGACTCCACGTAGCCCCCGGGCTAGACTTTAATCCTCTCGCCTTCGGACTCTGGGCGACTATATCGAATTGTCGACAGTTTTCGCCCGGGAGGCGTGCGCCCGAACGTGCGGCGTGGTCGCGAGGATCCGGGGGGGAGGGGGGACGTTGTCGGCGGACGACGGTCTCGCGGCGCGGACGGACGACGGCGGAAAAGCCGACTGCGGCGCCGCTGCGGGGCGACCGCGCTTTTTTAACGGGTCCTCCGGCCGGTAGGGGTTTCGGGCCCGGGCTGCGGCGCGGGTTCCGAAGGAACACCGCCCGCGGGGCAGGTTATTGTCGCACGGCATACGCTGTGCGCTACGCGTCGTTGTTATTTTCGCCGTACGCCGTCGCGGTATCCGACGCGTTCCGCCGCGTACGGTTCACGGGCACGTGAATCGGCACAATACCGTTGTCATTCCGGACGATAATATATTGTCGCGCGCCACGCCCCGTTCCCCCCGACCCCGTCCGTTTCGCGTGCGCGCCCGTACGTCGCCGCGTCATTCCGCGACGGCGGATTCCGCGGACACGCGGCGGCGTGCGCGCGGACAACCGCGGCTGTATTATCACGGCCGAATATTACCGTCGTGCGCATTCGTGTTATTATTATTATTTTTTTTTCGCGATTTCTTTTCGGTTAGGTTCCATTGTTCGTTCGGCCCGCGGTCCTCTCCCGTCTCGCCCGGCCAACACACACCCCCCCCCCTCCCCGCGCCGCGCCGCCGTCCGCGCAAAACACAGTCGTATCGTCGTTGACATTGTCACGGCGTGGTGTCGCACGGGGATTCGTTATTGTCGGCGGGACGGAATCCCGCCGTCGCACAACGCGAACGCGGAACCCCGCGCGGGGCCGTCCGTCCGCGTGCCGACGAGCGCGTGCGAGCCCCGCGGGCGCCCCGCGGTATTCGCGACGCGCAAGTCGAAGATGACGCGGCGGAACGGACGTTTGTCGTAAACGCGACGCACGTCGTTACGGTCGGCGTGTTGGTCAAACACGCCGGCGACGAGAATCGGTTGACGAATCGGCGAGCGATAGGCGCGGCGGGCGAACAGAGGTCCGGTCGCGTTTCGTTATTGTTATGTTTTTTTTTTCTCACGCGTCCCCCTGCACATGCCGTCAGGTACTTCGTGTAATCGACCCTGGCACGTTTGAATACGAACCGGGACGCGTTCGATTTCAACAGCGACACGCTTTTTACCACCTCCGACCAACGTCGCGTTGAACCGTGCACGGCTCCTACAGCCGCTGCTTTTACGTTGCCGATTATTCGCGTGTTGTGCACGCCGTACGGGCAGTACGCGTCCGAGAAAACGAAACCCCCATCGTTTAACTCGCTCACTTGTATCCGTCCGTCACACGGGTCTTTAAGAGTGTTAACGATCCGTTCGACTTCGAATACATTTTTACAATTATCCCGATTGTACGAGTTACAGCGAACCTGTATGGAAATTGGCGGTGAGAGAAATCCGGACTTTCGGATTTTGGAATCCGAAAAATCGCTCTTAACGCGTACAATGATTTTAATCACGGATGTCTACGAAACGAAATTGTACACAAAAACACAAAAATAAATATAAATAATAGCCTGAAAATAGCTAGAATGTTTTGAACATTTTACCGCGTCTACAAATGGCCAATATAAGTGTTTTGTGAAAACTACAAGTCTCTTACAATTATCGAACATTAGTTTGATACAATAGTGTAAAATCGTGACATCCGTCAATACGCCGTAAATATTTGTCCGTTTGTTCCCGACAGTCGTGAAAACCTATCTCTGAAAATCTAGACAATTTTTAGAATTTGAGGTGCGAAATACGAATTTTCAGATTTTAAAATTCGGATTTTCATATCACTTATGGACATATTGTTTAAAGTGAAGTACTTACTCTATAAACATTTTGTGAAAAGAAACAAGTTTTTCGAAAATTCGGTCGAAAATAAATAAAAAAATAGTTTTGCTGCGTCACAGCTGTAACACTGTTAGTTCCGTAGTGTCTAATCGAGATGAAATTCCGAGTTGGAATCCACGAATTCCCCCTGGTGGGATTGCCCACGGGAATCCAAGTGCTGTATTAGGACACTCGTTTTCTCATCGTCGCATAAAATTTATAAAGTTATTGTACAATTGTCGTAATGCGTTGGTCAAATTATCTGCCTGAAAATGTGCGTAAGGTACGAAAAACTTGATAAATTATAATTTGTGAGGTCTTTGATAAGTAAGCGCCTCTACCTATCTGAAATCGATTTTAACAATATAAATTCTAACAAAATATCTAGCCGATACTATGCAATCTTAAGACGCGCGTGCAACCCCCCGGTTTCGCGAATACATGTACACAGACGACAGAATAGGCATCAATAATGTTATTAACCACGTATAACACGACATGTCCGTTTATCGTGTAAATAAATATGTTTCAAATCTAAATACGTTCGCACGAAACTATCACACGTCATCATCGGTCAGACGATGATCCGCGACCGCCTGAACGATATGGGTTTCCTGGTCCTCTTGGCGTCGTCCGAGTCTTTGGGCGTCATGAACCACTCGACGATGGCTTCGGACTCCTGTTTGGCCTGTTCCCGGGTCTTCAGGCCCGCAGCGGCCCGGGCGGTCGCGATGGCCGTCTTGCTTTTATCGGCCTTTATCGTCATCTCGTTTTCGCCGTCCCCGTCCCCGTCCCCGTCCCCGTCCGACGATAACTGCTTCAGCCGGGTCCGCTGCAGCCGGAGTTTTTTCTCCAGAGCGGCCCTCTGAACGTGATACTGCTGGTTGTACTCGAAGTAAGCGCGGGCCGCGAGCTGTTTGTCGTCGGTCGCGTCGAAGCCGCCACCGATGTGCACCATGCACGCCTTGACTTTGGCGTGCAGCACCGCCACCAGCTTCCGGCAAGCGTCCACCCCGGAAATCCGGCTGGACCGGCAGTTTCTCCGGTCGTCGCGGTCCGCCGCTTCCGAAACCAAGGCGCACGGGACATTACCGACCGTTACGCCGCCACTGTCGACGCCTATCGACAGTTGCAATGATTCCAGCATCCGATGCGCGTCCATCGTGGCCCGAGTGCACTCGGTCTGATTCTTCTTGCGCAACTGATATTTTCTGACCACCGGCACCTGCGCAAGGCGAGCATTGCACGTAACGAAAATATCGGATCAAAACGCAGCTGGCTCAGGGGCGTGATAACTCGGAGCGGGGCTGTGGACGAGTACGGCAAATCCTACTTCCCAAAGTTTTTTTTTTTTCTACTTATAAAATGTCAACCGACATCAAACGATCATCATCGTTATTATTATTATTATTATGATAATAAGACATAAAATCGCGTGTAGCATTATTAAGTATTAAGTCTATAGTCGCGTATTATCAAGTCTCGAGTCAGCGGTACGTATTCGTTTTTCAAGCGACCACGGCGGTCGTGCGGAATAATGTAGCGAAACACGACCGCGTTGTTCGTTATCGGTTGGCGCGACCCGTGTTGACCGCAATCAACAATCAATCTCGGAAGTTATTACTAAATAAATACACCGACAGTTACTAGGTTTTTACCGTGTTATTGCAGATTAAAACGGGAATTAAAGAAAATATACAATAAGTTATCAATTCACGAAGAAAACAAATTGCACGACGAATGTGTTGAAACGTACACCGAATAACTTATTTATTCATATTGTACTGGTAACTGCGTACATTTTTGAGAATAACGATTCAAACATAGTAAACGAACTTTATCGTTTTAAAGATACATTGGTTGGATGCAATGTATTGGTTCAACGAAAATGTTGAACGTTGAATGTGTATAAAAATTAAAACAGAAATCTTGCTGGTGATAATTTAGGAAGGTCATTTATTGATTTTCCCAGGTTTTTTTTTTTCCCGATAAATGGGTAAAACATTGTAAAAACGGGAAAATAAATACAATATTAAACAAATATTAGCGAAAATATTTAATTCGTACGTAACTGTTTTACTATAGTGTAACATGTATATTTTCCATAAAACATTACTATCAACCGAACTCCGTTTAAAATCGTTTTTCGTCAACAACAGTTAATTATTACGTACGGACATACATTCAATATCCCCTCTACCTTTCCAACTTTTCACCTACAACAGTGTTCCACACGCGTTCAAAGTATGTCGGTTTTTTTTAATTTTTTTTTTTTTAAAGAAAAAAAACCTATAATAATTATTTATTTTGTCGACAGTTCGTATATTTGAATTTTAAATAAGCTATTTGTTTGTGTTGATACTGACAAATTGTAAGCGCATTCAATACGAATGGCCATTGAAAACCAATTGGTTACCTTACTCAGACGAGGAATCCGGATATTATTGTGAATATTCTACTATTTTGCCTAAAGTTAGAAAGAAAACAATCAGCCTTCGGAAAACTAGGTAATAGCATGCTTTAATGCATACTCGTATTATAATTACGCCCGCTAACGAAGGCTGTAAATTACCACGAGGAAAAGGCTCTTAAATTGACATTTTTATGATGAACGTCTTGAGCCGTGGTTGTGAAGCGCATGGTGTTACAGAGAAACAGTAGAGTGGTTTTAGAGGAGAGTTACGGCGGGAAATACGAACGAACGGACACTGGCCGAAATAAATGAGAAAAAAAGTATAAGGTACAAACGAAATCGTTTGGACGCCCGATAACGCAAACGTCAAATTTCCGCCGTGGAAAGGACGAGCGAAGAGAAACGGAGGAAGGCCTACAGCGCACCATCTGTTCTCCTACGCTACGTAATACTATAAAAAGTTGTACGGGTATAAAAGACGCCGTATGGGAAACCGCCGAGGATCGGCACGTTCGGCTTTTGCAGAAGACAACGACACAAACTGTGTTGCGGAGAAAAGAGAACGCGGGAGTATGACAAAAACGATTCGTTTTGGTAAAAATACAAATAAACCTTTCCCTTCCCCCCCTCCCCTCTAACTTTTCCCTCGCGCGCGGCGAATACGTTATAACCCGGCGCGCGAAAGGCCCGAGTCACGCGCGTCCTTGTCGAGCCCCTCAACCTTAACCGCGGGTCTCGAATTTCGAAACGCCCGTCGCCACTTGTGCGTGTATTTCGACGGCCGTTTATGCCCGCCGTTTAGCGTACTCGTCCCCGGGCACGCACTAAACGCGCGCGACGTTTTTTCACCTACCCGCCACTACGTTATGAGACCATACGGGTCGTATTTCCGTGCGTACCTCCGGAACGATCCCGGTGTGGATAACAATTCCGGCGGTTTTCCGCAAACGCCGCGCCGTTATATTACACCGCAATATAATAATATAATAAAAGCGACCGCTTTACGGAAATTCGCGTCGGTTCGCCCGTGACGGTATTAAAACCCTTTCGGATGACGTTTCGCCCCGGACCTGACGTTTCTTCGCCGGCGACCGAGAGGAACGGCGAGGACGGCGGGCCGAAATCGACGTACCGCCGCCCAACTAATTCGGAGCGAAAGCCGTAACTCGGAAAACGCGATCTCGAGATTATATTGCGTTGCATTATCGGGAAAAAAAAAAATTGTGCGCATCGTTTCCGAGCATATCGGACAGTCGTTTTCCGCGTACATCGGCCGTTAAGCAATTGACGAAATTAGCCCAACTTCATCTGTTCTTCGATGGCAGAGGGAAATATCGTCTTGTTTCCACGACTCGTGATAAAATGTTTTTAGATTCCGAGCGAGGAATGTTTTGGGGTTTTACAACGTTTTTTTTTTTTTTTTTCTAACTTTTCAGCACACTAGGAATTTATTTGCTCCGACATGCGATAATAGAACTTTTTTTCTAAAAGGAAATCTGATTGGGGAGGTACTCTAAGGAAGTCATTTTTCGATTACCTCAGGAATTTTCCGATAATTGGGGAAAACCGGGAAAAAACGTAAGAAAAACGGAAAAATACGTACAACATTAAACAAATATTATTCAATGTTATTTCAATATTATTCATGTTTACTGCATATGCAATTATTTTACCGTAATATGACGTGCATGTTGTTGACAAAGTAACATTATCAATCGAACTCCGTTCAGAATCGTTTTTTCGTTAGCAATGGTTAATCGTTGCGTACAGATATATACATACGTTAAATTCCCGTCTATGTTTTACTTTCCCAACTTCTCACCTACAATACTGGCTGCACCCGTCCCCATTATCCTAGGACAGCTTTTTTACTCGTTTTTTTTTTTTTTGCTTCTAAAAAGTTTCCGTTTTAGAGTTACAGCCATTAGGAATTAGGCTGACGATGTGTAAAATAACACGTCCTGACTGCTGCCAAAACTGACCGTAATCGCACGGCTCAAAAAAGAAATCTCGCTTCGATCTATAGAACGTACAGCACCGTTTTTTTTTTTTTTATCTAGTCGGTGCATTAGAGACATAATTTTCAAAATAGTTGGAAAACAAACCGGAAACAAAATTATGGATAGAACGGTAGATATGGCTTGCACCGGCGTTACCGTTTTATTTTTCGCACATTATGCATTCCACCATAAATATTGCTTTAAACGAGAAATGCCGAGAGACATCGATTGTTGGATTTAGATGGTCGCGAAGACAGTGGGTTTTGAATATTCCGAATAGTTTTCGTAATGATCGGGGAAAAGACGAAATGACGAGAAACGTCGAACGGTTCATACGGTTTCGGTATTTTCAATTTTTACGCGCAACGTGCACACCGCCGGACATATCGCCGAGGCAGAAAAACGACAAGAGACCGTTTTTCGTTATCTAGTCGACGAGAAATGATAATTCGTTTTTGAAGTTTACAGTCGTTTAAAACACACACGCGCGCTATTGCAGAAACCGTTTATGTAACGCGCGCAACGTCGCGTTTTTTTTTTTTTTTGTTTTGTTTTGTTTTTTATCGTTCCCAAAGTTTACGAGCGCGCCGCGAAAAAGGCGATAAATTAAACTGCGATTTCGTTTTTCTCAAAACGCGCGCGTATATACACGCAATATTATACGGCCGTTTCGGTAGATATGGATTTTTCTCGTTTCATAACGGGCCGTTTTACGGCGTATTATTATAGTCCGCGCACATAATAACTCCCGTCGCCCCGTCCGCGCAGGAACGATAAACATTTTGAATGCCCGTACGCCCGGAAAGGCCCTCTGGGTAATCTTATGCGTTTAAAACGACCGCGCGGCGCTTTACGCGCCGCGGCACCGCGCGTAACGCACGCCCGGCCGGAGCCGGCTGCCGCAATCGTGCGACGCACGCGATCTCTGTTATCGACGATCCGTTTACCTCCGGGCCGAACGCGGCGTGCGCCGGGGCGAAAGGACCAAACGACACACGACGTATTGTTATTATTGTTATCGTCGCCGTCATCGTTATCGCGGCCCGAAGCGAGTTCGGCCCGATTCGATAACGTTGAATGACGTCGCGCGCCGGAACGGGGAAGCGCCCGTGGGCCGGGAGGACGCGCGAGGACCGGTCGCGATCCGCCGGAAATTCGCGATTTTACACTTTCGTATTGCATTTCGCGATGCGGTTACGTTCGCGCGCCGTCTCGACATTTGACGGGCGACGGCCGTTGACGGTCCGACGTTTCTCTGATGTAGCGTTTCGTCTTGAACGCGTATTTTACACGGTTCAAAACGTTCGTATTGCCCGCCCCCCCGTATTCCTCTCTCCTTCCTTGGCTACGCTTTTGACCTCCCCGGGGGAGGGGGGAAAGGGGACGTCTCACTAATACGATTTAGGTCACAAATTTTCGTCTACAGTGGACCGCCCGCCAAACGTGCGAGGTACGTCCGTTTGTTTTAGGTTCTGAGTGAAGCGAAGATGCTTATGATTATGCTCCGATGCTACAACGATAGTACTTTTTCTAAAAGCAAATCCGAACGAGAAGGCCCTTTAGAGAGGTCATTTTTTTTTTTTTTTTGATTTTTCTCACGAACGATAAAAACTGGGAAAAAAAAAACATCTCGGAAGACCGTACGAAACGCAGAAAACCGTGAAAATCGGTACGTCGAACAAATATTGTTAAAGAAAATATATAATACCTATTTAATCGTTTCACCGTAATACGAAACAATGCAATATATACTGTCGACAACGCATCGAAGTCAACTGAACTCCACTCAGAATCGTTTTTTATTTTTTTCGACTTACACTGAATCGCCCTACACCGGTGGTCGCGCGGGCGCGATAAGTCCGTGTCCGTTTCGCCCCGCGACGCCGTTCCGCCGCCGGGTCCCCTAATCGTGCCGAACCGGTAAAACGATTCGCTCCGTAACGATATATTCGCGCGTAGCTCGTTAGCCGTTTATTTCGATTCGATCCGACCGGGGCAATATCCCCCGGAACAATATCTCCGCCTTTGACGGCCCGTACGGACACTGTTGTAGCCGGGTACGGCACGTGCCCGCGGATTAATTTGTCCCGCGACCGGGTGCCCGGTGCGTTCGAACGGAGCGACGGGCGGGGGCGTGGTCGATCCGGTCATTACCGCGTTCGGTATACCATAATAACCGTAAACTATTATTTACGATACGCGTATTATAAACGACAGTTTCGAAACGCCTACCCTCGGCCCCGCCGAAAAAAAAAACACCCGTGTAGGTACGCGACGTAAACAATGGGCGCGCGCCTTGCGGTCGCTGTTGTTATGCTCGTTATGCAGTCTGTTACGCGGTCGTCGTAATACAGTTGTAGTCAGTGGCGATATTAAAAGTACGGCGAATGAACAAAAAACAATTTAAAACAACGGGCGATATATTTCGCACGGACAGCGTGTGTGCGCCACTGTTGTAGGCGAGAAGGTCGCGGAGAGGCGAATCGATCGGTACGCGGCGATTAACCGTCGCTATCGAAAACGATTCAGAGCCGAGTCCGGTTACGCGTGTTTCGAAAGGCCGTAATGGCTGCGTGGCGTACGACGTCGCTGGAATACCGTATTCGATTTAAAAAAAAAAAACGGCAACAATATCGTGCGCGGTACGTTTCTTTTCCCGGAGTCAAAAGTAACATTACCGTTTCAACGGTACTTCTTTGATATTTTACGAGAAATCGAAATCGCAAACACGCCGCCGTCGTTCGCGGGCACGGTCGAATTATTCGTTTTAATTAACTCACGCCCGATGTCGTGATGGCAGTTGACAAAGAACCGAAGACGCGTCTGATAACACTGAATGCGTACAAAGTACTCGGCGGGAATACAATAGTCCGAGAACGCGAGCCGCTAAAGTCACGGCGCGTTGTCGAACAAGCGGATGATACGACGAAATGAGTAATCGCGACCGCGGCGAGGGGAACGCGACGGCACGTAAACAGGAGGCGCGCGGTCCCCGGCATGATAAGACGGGACGCGGAACCGGGTGTCGGAAAGAACAGAACGGCGGGAGCGTCGACGGGGCCGTTCGAAAGAGAACGGACGAAACCGCGACGCCGGCGGTTTATCGACGAGCGGCCGGCGTTCGGACGTTTAAGGCTCGACGAACGCGGCCGTGCGCGCGGCGGTCGATTTTATAGAACGCGAAAGCTGCGCACGCGGAAGGAACGCGCGTTTCGTACCCGTTCCGGCCGTAGCCGTTCTTCGGCCGGGTACGGGTGCCGGACGCCAACACCGTGCCCTGGCTCAGATCTGGGCACGGCTGAAATATTAGCGAACGGAGGCCGTCGCGCGAAAATGCTACGGGGCGATAATATCCGCCTGGACCGCGCGCGTTTTACACAAAAATAAAAAAAACTACGACAATAACTGCGACTCCGGGAGGGAAAAAAAACCCGCGTCGTTCTTTATCACACTCGCCCTTAGCGCGTTTTCCGTTCCCCCGGCCATTTAAATTGCGGTGTTGCGTCTACACACGCGAGCGAATATTATGTATAAATTTATGTACGTATGCGCGTGTACACACCGGACGGAAGGGATAAATAATCGTGGTTTTATTATACCGTACGGGCGTTCGCCGAGAAAGCTCGTTACACAGTTACAGAGTCGTTATATTATATCCCGGCGTCGCAGCACGTGTTGATTTTTATTTTTTTTTTAAAGGGCGAATATAATGACTGTAACCCGAGACTTGTGAGATAATTGACGACGACGACGAAAAAATCGCGCGGGTCGAATAAAATTCGTAAAAAAAAATACGGTTTGTATATCGAAAGCCTACTGTTTCCCCCCCCCCCCCCCCCCCGAAAGAGAAAGAGAAGGGCTAATCATCGCGGGTTTTTGTGGAAGGGGGAAGGAACTATTCGCCTCAGCGAAATTGATTATGCACAGAACACATATATTCGCGGGCGCTATCGCTCGCTCCCGCCGTACTCCGCTTAAAAAAAAAAAAAAAAACATTAGGTTATTATTGGATTTAGGAACGAACGCAGAAGGGGGCTTTTGAATAAACAGGTTTACGGGTTCGGCGTAACAACGAAAATATAATACGTGAAATCAGTACGCATCGCGCGGACTGTTTTATTGAAGAAAGGTCTGACAAACTGCAATAGGCCAATACTATTACCTTGTAAAATTTATATATTTTACGAAACTACTAAAAACGAATAATAGAAAAGACGTCCCCCCGCTGTGCAATTATTTGTCTCGGAGATATTGCTCCGACGTTATTTCGAAACACGCAACGTCACAAATTTGTGTTCGTGACTGTATTCCTGCCGGTATAATGTCTTTCACCCAACGTCCATTAGACATCATTTTTCAACATCCATACAACAGTTACGCACGGCATCGCTGTGATAGTATTACTACCGCTCGTATTGACGTTGATAACATTGCGACGAGACGTTCTTAAAAAGTTAAATTTTAAACGTAGTACGGGTGTTCTAAGTTTATAATGCAGTAAAAATTAAGATAAAACCTCCTCGGGCGGTCTTGATAATATTGCAACGCGATATTTCTGTTCGAAACACAAAACGTACATAGCAGAGGTGTTAGGCAACGGAAAACGTTTAGTGGGGTCCTTCGTAACCGTCTTTAGTCGACAGTGTAGAATGCGTCAATCGAGCATTTTTGCGAAGAGAGGAAAAAATGTAACGAGAAAACATTTTTAGCCTTGCAATTTACCAATGAGAAAACCCGGAGCGTCCGTTATCAACACACAAACGTATGCATATCTGGACGGTCTGACTAGACGTGGCGGTCGAATGGTTTTATTACGGGGTAGGGGGAAAAGAATAATTTTTAATAACTATTATCATTATTCACACGGCATATAATCATTATAAATATTTAAGAAATATTAGAGGTAACGGGGGAGGTAATATCACCTTAACTCCCACCCCGCCGTTCGACCGCCCCCGTATAGACCACAGCTTTCCGTGAGGAAACGCGGTCGTACCGTTCGGACCAACAGAGATATAACAATAAAGTGACTGAGGTATGAGAGTAGAACAACTCCGGTCCCGTGGACTAAATGAATAATAAAAAAAAAAACAACACAATCGAGTTCAATCGTTGGAACTTGTTGCGTATTCGATATTATTATAGTACTATATTGGACCTTAACGTGTATTGGACTTTTTGGGTTTGGACAGTATCTCTTACGGCGGAGTCTCACCTGACACCGTTCCAGTTTTACCACCATGTTATCCAGATGGAACCAGAGCTCGTTGAACAGCTTCATGTACTCGAATATCCGGTCGTTCATCTGGTTTTGCTTCTTGGCCTGAACCTCTAGACCGTCACGCCGAATCCGCTCAATGTCCTTATCCAACTTCATAATCGTACGGGGCAGATAGTTGATGGCGTCCGTTTCCAACTGGCTGGCATTATCCACCCCGGTCCGGACGATCTCGAACAAATGTTTCCGGACGCTTATCATTTTTTTCAGCCGCAACTCCATGTTCTTGACCGTCGAGAAATACTCGAGCACTTCCTCGATATTGGAGAATCCCAACTCTTTGCACACGTAGTCCGCAGCTTCCATCGCCCTGGTGCGACGGACGTCCTCGTCGCCCGACAATAACCAGTTTGTCTGCGGACAGTGAAGATTTTTGAAAAAATTAAAAGTTAAGTTTTTATTTTGTTTCGGCGCCACTGTTCTCTTTACATTTATTTGTTTTTACACGTTTCGCGTTGCACATCAAATAATTAAAAAAAAAAAAAAAAACAACATAGAATATAACACATTGACATGTAGTCGAAAACCTGTAACTATACTCAAGTTTTAAAAATATACGTAATGTGCCTTTGCTATTTGAAAAAAAATAAAAATATTATCGACAAAACCAACGAATTCGATCATATTTCAATGTTTCCAATAGCTCCCTCCCAAAGTACCAGAGTGACACCCCCTGTATACATTATCGCCACGTGACTTTTCTGCGCCGAAACGCGACCTGCGACGTGACGTTCTTCGTTTCCACCTTTTTGTGGAAACTTAAGTCTATTGCGTTGTATTGTGTCATATATTTTTATGTCTTTCCCGGTACATTCGAACATTTTTTTCGGCTCGGAAGTGTTTTTTTTTTTTTTTCAAAGTAATACAATTTTGAACGAATTTCAATACAGAATTTTTGCGTGAAAGGTGTGTAGTTTGGCTTCGCGCACCCCTACAGTCTCGCCGAATGAATTTATTGGACGGCGTTTTGTTCACGCGTGGAATAAGTGTTGACGACGCGCCCTTTGGCGATTTAAAATCGCAATCGCCCCGACAAACGTTTTCACGCTCGGACTTGCGATATTTTCACGGAGAAAATCGGTTTTTCAATTATTCACTTGTTCGGGACACCGACTTCGGTTTCGCGGTTCGGACGCGGCGTGAAACGGATATCACGACGTCGGCGCCGCTACGGCTACAATCCCCTTATCGTTTTAACCGCAGCGCATTGTCGCACGGTCATCCCGACACGACCGACGCGCTTGCGCGTGCGCCCGACCTGAACCGTCAACTGCGAAGAAGCGTCGCGGTAAAACACTAATCGCGAACGAATCGCACAGTGATCAACCCGTTTACCCGACCCGGATTTCGAAAAAAAAAAAAAAAAATGCCAATCATTTTCGTTCGGTGTAAGACACCATCGCAGTGGGTCGTCGATTCCTTTGCAACTCGGCCATCGCACGCCGCGCGCATTTGTGAGATTGAATTGTTAAACAAACGCTACTCGCGCAGCCGTTTCCGTTCTCGGGCCGATCAGAATGGGTTTGCGGCGGGGAGCGGCGCGGTGCGGGGGTGGGGGTGNGTGGGGGTGGGGGGTGGGAGGGGAAGAGCGGAGATCGTTCCCCGGCCCCGCCGCGCGCGCGTTTTAAACGTCGACTTGATTAATTCGTTTCCGACGAAACGCGCGTCACCGTAAAACCGTATAATTTTATTTGATTTTTCGCGCTAATTATCGCCATCCGTTCCGGTCTAATGAACTTAATAATAATATTTGAAGAGTATTTTTCGCAGCAGCAGTCGACAAGTGTAGCGGTAATTACTTTTTGGAATTTACATAATTTATTCATTTTATTTGTTTAATCGGAAGGATGAAAAATATGGAAAAAAAAAAAATAAATAAAAAAACAAAACAAAAATGCCGATAACTTTTACTAATGAAACATTACATTACACGCCGTTTCTTTTTTTTCTTTTTTTTTTTTTTTAATATAGTGAGCGCAACGCTACGTTCGGGAGGGCGGGGAGGGGGGGCAACGTTCTATATTATTAAAAAGCGAATCGGTTCCCGCGTATAAAATTATTGTTTTTTTTTTTTTTTTTTTTTTAATAATTGGAAATTTCCCGTGAAAAACCGCGTACCGTTTGGGTCACCGCGGCGCTATCGAATCGAATAGGACGACAATAACAACGTTGCACGCGCGATAAGATTTTCGTTATCGGTTGAAACACTCGTACGAGACGATAAACCGTCGCGGACAAACTCCGAGCGGAAATCGGTTACGCGCGGTATTAATTGAATTCAACGCGACAATCACGGGGATAAGACGACCGGCACAACCGCAGAGGAGATTCAGTCGGTCGCGGGACGACGGAGGGTACGCCGGGCACGCCGCCGCCGACGCCGCGTCGACGCCGGCCCGTTCGGTCGTTTCTAAAGCGTACTCGGATCTGATGAACGCGACCCGGGTGTAGACAGCGACGCGCGCGTTTTACGGTCCGCGATTGGGACGCGTCGTTTTTGTAATTTCATTTACGCAAATAAATTACGCTGACGGACGCGACTAACAATTGCAATTGCCCTACACGCGAGACGCCTACCGCGCGCCTCCGCGTACGGGAGTCGCACGACCGACGCGACAAACGCGAATCGTTATTTCGGCGTTGCCGACCACTTTACCCACCTTTTCCTCCGGAAACGTGTAACTGTTTTCGAAGCGGGAATCGGTCTCGCCGCTCGTCCCGGACACCGTGCCGGACGTCGTTTCGCTCGGGTCCCGGTACATTTGCCTGTTCATCTCGCCGGACGCGATCCAGTCGTTTAACGTCACCCACGGGTTCGTTTCGAAAAACTCCGCGGAGCATTCGGAGCCCTGCGACGCCAGTCGCGACCCGGAGCGAACGGCCAACTGCCGGTCGTCCCCGAATAACCCGTCGCCGATCTTGTCGTCGTCCGCCTGCAGCCGACCGACGATCTTCTTTTTCCTGCCCGGCCAAAACAGTTTATGTAGTGCGCGCGGGCATAGTCCGCGTCTTCCCGTCAAAACCCCGCCCCCGACCCCGCACCGACCCCCGCGTATTCGCCGTCCGACCGTCCGGCCGGCCGTCCGCGACAGACAACAACGTATTGCGCGCGATACGGGAAACATACGAGAAAACTACCGGACCTGATGGACTCCACGACGGCCACGTTTTGGCTGAGCCGCTGGTGTTTGGCGTAGTTCTTGCGGGCCTCGCGACCGTGCTGGGTCAACGCGTCGCAGTATTGCCGGTTAAACGCGGCCGCCTCTTGCTGCGCGTACGTGCCGTACGCGAGCAGCTCGAGCACGGTGGCCGCCTGCTGACGCACGTCGGCCGTCAGCCGGTCGTTCAGCTTGTCCCGCATCGCCATGTTCCCGGCGATCAGGTCGCACGTCCGGGTCACCTGCCGGTTGGCGATCCGGAGCGCGTCCACCGTCTTGTCCATCGTGGCCGGCGGTACCGGGCCGGCCGGCGGCTCCCGGGGCGCGGGCGGCACCGGGCTACGGGCCCGGGCCGCCGCGGCCCGCAGCCGGGCCATGCGGGCCGTCTTTTCGGCCACCCGGATCCGCTGGGTGTCCAGCCGCTGCCGGGCGTGCGACAGCTTTTCGGCCAGCGACCGTTCTACGGCCGCGGCCGACTCCATCCGGTCGTACAGCGCCCGCTGTCCGTCCTTGGGCACATCGACCAGTATGCGGTCCATGTTCTGGCGGGCGACCGCGCGGCGCGCGCTTTTCCCGAGCACCTCCACGGACGACTTCAACTCGGTCAGCCGGCCGGCGTCCGCCCGGTCGGCCAGACGCCGCCCGTCCGCCTTGACGGCGGTCGCGAGCGCGCCGGCATCGGCCAACGCCTTTTGCGCGGCCCGTCTGCTGGCGTTCGTCCACCGCGGGTCCGCCGCCCGTTTCAGCAGAGCGTAGTCTCTTTCGTCCATGCGGTGGCGATTCGCTGCGGGGTCGTCCCGGTGGTAAACGCATTATATTCGTCTGTTCGGTGTTTTCGCGTTCAATTTTCGTTATTGTTATTATTTTTTTTTTTTTTTATCAACCGTATTTTCCGTTTCCGGTCGTCTTGGATACCGCGGTTCGCGCGCGCCGCACTCGCAACGCGTAACGTTCAAATGCGCGTTTAGATAATTCGTATCCATAACAAGTGTAATTAACGGCTGATTGAAAATGTCTCCGAGAGCGTTCGGTATTTCTCCATGCCCGGGGCGTAATTTTCCCCGTCGAGCCACTCGTTTAAAAATACTCGAAACAATAACGCTCGAAATAATTTTCGAAAAAAAAAAAAAAAAAAATAGCGGTTTTTTACAAGTCCGTCGTCTCCCTCGGGGAACGAACGTCGTGGCCGATATTTATTTATTTTTTTTCATCTTGTCCTTTGTCGTTTTCCGCGTTTACGACAACGTTAACGGCGTGTACGAGACGATATTATACCGGCGACGCGATCGGAAACCGACAAAGGATTTATTGTTTCCCCGCTGTTTTCGTGACAATTAATCTAAAACGTTCCGGTGCGGAAATCGTCGGCTGCCCGGCACAATATCACAACGACAAACGCGCGTTGAAAAAAAAAAAAAAAAAACCCATCGACTATTTTTCGTACAGTTATAAATATGCACGACCGTTGACGACTCACGTAAAACGAAAAACAACCAGACGAGAAATATTACAAACGACGTGACGTTAAAAACAGTTCGGAAATCGGACCGTTGCCGCGTTAAACTACAATGTTGTACACGAACGAAATAATAATAAACGGATTGCGCCGACGCGCCGGTCCGACGAGAAACTATTCACAACACCGGAAACCGTTCGCGTTGTTGACGTCGACATTCGACCGATCACTTTAATTTGTCCGGTTTAATCCGCAATGTAGGGAAAAAAAAAAAAAAACTACTCTATTTCTCGAGTTTGAGCTCTATTGGCCCGGTAGGAGCCGCCAAAAGCGCCGCGAACGTATCGCGAATACATAATACACATATTATTTTATTCGTATTGAAGTGTTCAGATTCCGAGCGTAGCGAAGGAGCTATTGGTTTTACTAAGATTTGATTTTTTTTTATTTTTTTTTTTGTCTTTGTTCTTTGTTTTAGTTTGTGGACACGTTTTTTCCTAGTAGACTTGCCCCGGTTCTCACGTGTAGCAACTTTTCTAGAAGCTCAAGTTGTCTAGACATTAAACTTGACTTTAAAGAGGTCATTTTTTTTTCAAACAAAAGCACTTAAGTGTGAAAAAACTTAGGGAAACGTACAATTTCACGATTTCATTATTTTACAAAAACACGGACACGAAAAAAAATGATTTAATCGAAATATCACGTGTTACCTTTTTTGTTGCCTGTTTGATTTACTTTCTGACGGTTAGGCAGAGACTTTAAACTTGGTAATAATACTTATATTGGACTAACGTGGTCAAATTTCCAAAATCATCGGACGACTTTGTTTTTTTTTTTTTAATAAGCGTTTTGAAATTAAATTTAAACGAAAATCGCAAAAAAAAAATTTGGCACTTCAAATTATGTATTACCGAACTGCGCTCGGAATCGTCTCTCGTGAAGCAATTGTTTTATCGTTGCTTACAGATATCAACGAAATAACCTTTTATCCAACCTTCCCAACTTCTCACCTACAACAGTGGCCGCTCCCATCCCCGGTATCAGATTTTTTTTTTTTTAATATTGGCAATATTATGTTGAATATTCGTTCGTATCCGTAAATCGATTATTTTGAAATAGGATGTTGTTTATTTGTTTTTTTTTTTTTTCATTATAGAATTGTGGATTCTCAGTGAAAAGCGCGAGGTTGTTCCGAATACTGAAAGATCGGGTTCCGATTGGGTCGCGGAACATCGGTAAAGGATCGAAGCAGCCGCTCGGACAAACCGGCATGTAGGGGGAGTGGGGGGGGGTGATGGCGGCGGCGCCCAAAAAAATATGTTAGTTCAGGTCCCGAAATAACGGTAAAAGGTTCGCGGCGATTCGGACAAGGCGATGGGGGGGAGGGGGAGGAAGCTAACTTCGCGCACGTACCGCGACGCCTCCGCCTCCGCTTATCGCGATACTGCAAAGCGCGTGTTCCGCAGCGACGCGTATTATCATTATCGTCGTTATCCGCGAATGTAAATAAATAATAAACGAGACGTAAAGCGTTAGGTATCGCGTCGTTCGCCCCTTTGTCGATATAATAATAATAATAATAATAATAATAATAATAATAATAATAATGATAATGATAATAATAGTGATGATAATAATGATAATCTAACGACTCGGAGCCCAGGAGATTCGCCGCCGCCGCCGCGATTCAGATATTGATGTATTCAAACGTCATTCGCCGAAACTTTACGGGCCCGGGGACGGATTTTAATGAGAAATTTAAACTTTCACACTCGATTAGCATACGCGCGATCGGGGGGCGCGCGAAAATCTCGCCGCGCCACCGCGATACACCTACGTGTAATGACGCGCGGTCCCCGTCCTCGCCGTCCTCGGCGTCGCGTTATAACGATATTGTTATATGGTCGTCGTCGCCGCCGCCGCCGCCGCCGCCGCGGCATGGCCGCGCGTTTCTTTTACGGCCGCGGCCGGCGCGGCGAGCGTACCCGTCCGGATGGAACGACGCGACGACACGTTTTTCGCGTGTTCTGCGCGTTATCGCCGTCGCCGCCGTCGTTTTCGAATCCCGGGCCGGCAACGAACGGCAACGAAAACGAACGCCGCCTCGGGATAACGGGTCGCGGCCACTGTTGTCGGCGAAAAGTCGAGAGGGCGGCACACGGCCGGGGAAATTAATCGTTATCCGAAAGCAAAACGGCAATGGCTGTTGCTTGCTAAAAACGATTCGGAGCGGAGTTCGGTTGATAGGGATCCTTTGCCGACAATAAATATATGTATATATATGTGTGTGTGTGTGTGTGTGTGCAACACTATGGTAAAATAATTAAATACGCGTTACAAATTTTATTTGATGATATCCGTTTGATACTGTACTGATTTTCCCGTGTTTTTTTTTTTTTATCGGATTTTCAAATTTGAAAAATTACCTCTTTAGAGTACCACCCCAAGAAAATTTCCTTTCCGCAAAGGGTCTACATCGTATACATCGCAGTAAGGTTTCCGGTAGAAAAAGTGTGAACATAAAAAAAAAAAAAAAATAAACGTCTCTGTAAAACCAATACATTCTTCGCTCCATTTAGAATCTAAAACCGGACATACTTCGCACGATGGGCGGCCAACTGTTGTAGGTTGGAAAAGTTGGAAAGGCGGTAGAGGGGAAATTGTATGCATATCTGTACGTTACGATTAACCATTGCTAACGAAAAAAACGATGCTGAGTGGATTTCGGTTGATAGTAACGTTTTGTCAACAATATGTATGTCGTATTATAGTAAAACATTAAATAGGTATTGAATATTGTTTTTAATAAGATAACCTTTTTTAATGTACCGATTTTCCCGTTTGTCTTAAGTGTTTCACGGTTTTCCCATGTTTTTTCACATCTGTTGAGAAAACTCCTGAGAAAATCGAAAAATGACCGCTTGAAAGTAACTTTCCAGTTAAATTTTCTTTTAGAAACATTGCTGTCGTTATAAATCTGAACGGATTTCCTTGTAGAAATGTTGTCCGTAGAAAAAAAAAATAAACATCATTGTATAACCATAAGTTTCGTCGCTCCACACAGAATCTAAAAAAAAAAAAAAAAAATAAACCACATAATATTCGCATTATTATTAATTGGTGAGTTCGTATAATTTTTGCACGAGAAAATGATGAGAATACTGCCAATTTGTATGCACTACAAATACATCCACAGCTTTTTCTAAATCGATGTTATTTACTTTTTCCTGTTCAACATTCACCGCTATAATATTTAGCCTTTGATCATCGCCCACTCGGAAATATGATTTTACGTTTTTAAACGATGAAAAACCCTTTTATTCGATGCCGTTGCAATTGGTAAAGTTGTTATTAATCATATGATTTCAACGTTTCCATATTAGCAACCGTTAACCGTTCAATCGCGGAGTTAACCAACTGTTTACCGTGTGGGTTCCTTACCTATACTCTGTAGGTATCGGGTGTGCCTGGTATATATAACAATGTACGCGGTACATTCATTGTTTATTCAATTACTCTATAGCACGGCGTTTGTTTACTACGGCGGACAATAAAACACCAATACTGTTAGTATAAAAAAAAAATTATGCATTATTTCAGCAGGCCGACGGGGACTCTTTTAAAAGGAAACGGGGCGATAGCACACCCTGTTCCCCCCTAATGACGCCCCTGACCGGTTCTAATATTAACATTGACGGTGTACATTTAGTATTTATAATATCATACCACTCCGGTAACATATATACCTACGCAATTAAAACGACGTTTAACGTGGCGTTTTTCACGGAGAGCAAGTCATTCGCGACCATCATCGAGTACGGTATCGTCTTGTCGGTTCTGCGTCGGCTGTGCATATAAAAGCCGAGTATTCAAACGATGCCGTTTTTCAACTAACGAAATATCTTTGTAATGTTAACTCACCGTCCGTTTCAATGTCTATAGCGAATCGGCGTAAACCAACAGGCCGATAAAAGTTGTTAATAACGAAATAACGAAGCAAACGTAAATATTATGCCAATCGTTGTCCGAAAAACAGTTTTACGTTTTTCTGTTTTTTTTTTTTTTTTTCGATGTTAACCATCTATAACATCTACAATGTTTTCGGTGTAAAATAATCACACCTAGTGTGAAATTCGTCGCATACAAATTAATTATTGTTTGTAAGTTAGGCGTATACGAATATACAGGCCAACAAACAAAACAGAAACAATAAAAAAAAAAAAACATGATGCACTTGTAATATTAAATACGTAAAACTGGCGGGAAGTCTATTATATTATTTGCGAAACAATTATTGAACGTCCGATATTTCCG